GTAATATGTGCAAAAAGCTAAACACAGCTACAATCATCATGGTGTTGGTCATCGCAATTTGCTTATTTGGAAGTAAATCATGATCTGTGCACATTATATTCTTCAATTTACGCAGCCAATCCTGTATTTAAATGCAGTTGTCACTCTTGAAACTTTACAAATCTGAAATAAGGTACTTAAGAAATCAAATGAAAAATCAACACAATTTTGCGTTAAGAATGTTCTTTATTATTATAAAAAACTTCATTGTAATGTAGTTATGGATTCATCTTGAAAACAACCACCAACCCAGTAAAAAAAATGGAATGCAGAGTACTGCACAATAGTGTATAGCACAACAGCGCAGTGCATTTCCCACTGTACTAGTATTATCCTGGAAAAGTATACTGCAGTCCTGCCTTTAAGATTGATCAATCAATCAATCAACCCCCTGATTATATGATTCCTCTAAGGCTTTAACTGAGGTCTCCTTCAAGCCCAGACTTGCTCCAGGTCCCATAATACGTGTCCTGGGTTAAGAAACGAGCCATATATATCAGGGAACTGGACGATGATATTGACCCTTCTCCATCTCACGCTCAGTCCTTCTTGGCTCTCTTGGCTTTGGCGATGTTCTCCTGTCTTTTTTGCTTCTTTTTCTGCTCGCGGTCCTTGGCTTCGATCATCTTGGCGAGCTTCCATGACAAAAGGGCACTGGCGATAAACAGAGGGGTTAAAGCTAGGATGACTGTGGTGAGAAAGCCGTAGGGGTCTTTAGCTGCCCACTCCACCACATATTCTGCCCATGCCTTTATGTCAATCATCCTATCTGGACTCAGAGTTCAGCAGAAGACCCTAGGAGGAAAGGATGTGTGTGAAATTAGTAGACATTTGAATGTACAGTTGAAACCTAAGTTTACATACACTCTAAAAAAAAAAGGAACAACCATTTTTTTAAAATGTCAGATGGTAAATCTAAACGTTTACTTACTATTTTAGGTCCGTTAGGATTAACTAAATGATTACATTTGCTAAATGCCAGAATAATGAAAGAATTTCTTTAGAGAATTTTTTATTAATTATTTGACAGTCAAAAATTTACATACATTTCCTTGGTATTTTTTTAGCTTTGCTTTTAAACTGTATAACTTTGGTCAAATGTTTTGGGTATCCTTTCACAAGCTTCTCACAATAGTTAGGAGGAATTTTGGCTCATTCCTCCTGACAGAATTGGTGTAACTGAGTCAGATTTGTAGAATGTCTTGCTCGCAAAAGCTTTTACAACTCTACCCACAAATTTTCTATAGGATTGAGATCAGGGCTTTGTGATGGCCACTCCTAAACATTGACTCTGTTATCTTTAAAGCACATTTTAACTAATTTGGCAGTATGCTTACTGTCATGGTCTGCTTGGAAAACCCATTTGTGGCCAAGTTTTAATTTCCTGGCTGATGTCTTGAGATGTTGTTTTAGTATTTCTACATAATGTTCTTTCTTCATGATGCCATCTATGCTGTGAAGTGGACCAGTCCCTCCTGCAGCAAAACAGCCTCACAACATGATGCTCCTGCCCCCTTACTTCACAGTTGGGATGGTGTTCCTAGGCTTGTAAGCTTTCCCCTTTGTCCATCTGACTTTTTTAAAATGGTTATGTGCCTTTTTATACAGTGTATGTAAACTTCTGGTTTCAACTGTATTTTATATATCATATACATTATTATTACAATATTTACAAATATGTGCATTTTTAGTTTGGTGTAATCTCATCTTAAAATGAACAGAGAGGTGGGACACATATTATGTCCTCCCATTTGAAAAAAAACAGCCTATAGCATTTTGTTTTGTCACAGCACCGCCAGCAAGAGTGGTTGAGATGAAGCGCATACAGATATTGAATCCCCAAGGTTACTTAATGTCTTATGAAGAATTTTTATCACATTTTAATTTAATTGTATCCTTTATAATACTTTGCTGCTTAAGTATTCCCATGTATTGTCTGACTATGTAAAAGTTACTCATATTCAGAAAATATCTCTTTGTTACACCCCAAAGATAAACAATGTGGGAAAATATGTTTTTCTTCTCACTAAAATAAGGCCATATGTTCCTTATTTCAGTCACTCATAGTAAAAAAAAACCCTATATAATCTCTTATTGGTCTGGGGTCCTCAGAGGTTTGGTCATTGCTTAACACAATTTTTATTACAAAAAATTTTAAAGAGGTCTTGTTTAAAACTCTGCATACATTTTACCGTCAAACATTTTCTTTTCAAGTTTCCAAAACTGTTCATTTTGTTTGTCACGGCCAGTTTGTCAATTCTCAAAGAAAATATGGTGTGAGATCTCTAAATTCATAAACGACAAATTATTGCCAAGTTTCAGTTTAGAATACCTACATGTTATTTTGGATTTTTGAACTGTAACAAAAAATAGAGAAGGAAGCTTATGTTATTAATCTTTTGATAATATTTACAAAGTACCATATTCACAGATAAAATTTTAATAACCAAAAATCATTTAATCCTGCTATTGTAATAGAATTCAAACATTATACAAACAACAAAAAGCAAAGCACTAATAAAAAAGAATTAAAACCTTTTTTTTTTTTTTTAAACCTAAAACCTTAAAGATCCTGTAATTCCTCAAGGCCCTTACCCATTTATAGTATGTATACTTACACATATATTTGTTTGTCTTATTTATATTTAGTTTTTTGTACAGCCCTGATATATTTTTTTTCTTTTCTTTTTTTCTTTCTTTTTTGTAATGTTCTGTACTTTGTTCTTAAGGCTTTAAGAAAAAAGGATTAAAAAAAAGAGATGAAGTGCATCAAATAAAAAGCATATGAGAAGCGTCTTGAAGGGGGCGGGACATGTCAGATACTAGAAAGCATTTGATTGATCAAGATTTGATGCGAAACGGAAGTATGACTGGTGACAACAAAAACTAATTTTGGAAGTGACAAACTGTAAGCTTTGAATGTTGATATGAGGTCTTTATCTTCTAAACGTGAATTGTTTCATTGTTTTGAAGCACACTAGCAAATAGATATCCTAAAAAACTAACAATACTCTTGCTACCATAAAAAAACTTTATTTTAATGTATTTATCTGGTATAATAACAAAAAAAACTCGTTTGTGTCTATTTGTATAAAATTTGTGTGTATTGTATGTACACATTAAGAACGGACTCATTTTCAAACAAAATTACATAGCAAAAGGATTATAAAATACATCAAGTAACACTTTATACAGTAATACAGTAAGAAAAAAACTGCTTAAACAATGTTAATGTTAGTTTAAGATATACAACTGAAATGAATTAATTATTAGCTCCATCAGATGTAATAGCTATGACTTTGATTTCAGTGAGTAAGAAATTAACACTGCTGAAAATGCTGAAAGTAGCTTTCATTAGTTTAACGCTAGTTTAATTAACTAGAGTTAATTGTTAAGAAATGAAATGTTAACAAACAGATATATAGATAATAAAGATATATGACCAAAAATATGTTGTTCAAAAAATCTGAACATTTATGAAAACCAATAAATAAATCAGAAACATTTCAAATTAAGTTTTCAAGCATTTTGTGTTGAGATGAACACCAAAACCAATTAAACAATTTGAATACACTTAATAAACACACTTAATAATTAGTATTAAATATTAATTATAGATAAACTTACATAAATAGACTTAATAGTTAGTATCCACGTGTTATTATTTTAGCATTTTTAAGTGTCCATCCTTTTAAAAATCATTTAAGTTCAATATCACGTCTAATCATCTACGATGCCTGTGAAATCAATGCTATACTGTAGGGTAACAATTTGTATGCCTAACTGACTCGTCATATTTTGTTAAAGATTTGCTGGTTTAAGACGCAAATGCGAGTTTACCGCAAGTAAAGTAGGAGACGACTGCTAAACCACTTTCAGTTTTCACTGACAGCCATAAGCTAGCAACACAAAGCTCACTAGCGACTCTTCTGCACCTCTGATAATGAATGAAAATCACCCTATGGTAAGCTGCTGTTTGCTGATCAGCACATAGAGAATGATATCCAGTGAGATCAGCTGGCAAATAGTCGATCACTTACCAGAAAAACCGTTAAATATTTGACGAGCAGTTTTAGTACTAGAAACCTGTCGCCGGAAACAGTACAAGAGGAAGTGAAACTTTTAATTTGTGTTTGCACACTGCAATATGGGAAATGTAGTCGTAATGTCATTTTATTTATTATTTTGATATTTTCTTGATGTTTTCGCATTTGTTTTAGATGTGTTGTACATTATTGCAGAGCAAGGTCTTTCAATTTCTTATTTATGTGTATTTGGATATTTTAATAAGACTATATATATATATATATATATATATATATATATATATATATATATATATATATATATATATATATATATATATATATATATATATGAACACACACACACATTATTATTATTATTTTATTATTCTTCTTCTTATTCCTATTATTATTATTATATTATTATTATAAGTTATTATTATTATTATGAGTAATCATTATTATTTACACATTATTATCAGACTATTGCATTTTTTCCAACTTACTATTTAAAAGTAATAAGAATAACTAACAGGCAGGCAAGCATCATATCATAAATACAAGAAAACATATACAAAACAAACAAATAAATGAATTTGAAAAATATATAAAACATTACCGAAAATAAATTACAATTACAGTCATTGTGGTTAATTCGTGCTATTAATGTAGACAGTTTTAAAACAATTTTACTTTTTAATCGTTGTTAAGATTAAAATTACATTCAAAATAATTTTTAAATACCTCACGACAGGGAGAAACTTTAGAAAATATACATATGTGCGAAGCATTGGCTGTAAATAAAACTATAATGATCATGCTATACCGGACTATTATTTTGACAACCAAATCTGTCACCAGCGGACAGCCAATGAGTGCAGCCACATTGGTCATGTGATGAAACAAATCATCAAATCACATCGTTCTCTAGCGTTTGCGTTGTAATTTCAAACGGGTGTGAGGAAAGGAACAACCTCGGATTATCTGTTTACACAGCCCGCGATAGCTCAATAAGCGACTTTATTTTTCGATAAGTATAGCGTGCGTATTTAATATAGCTAGCAAATGCATTCAGTTAATTAAAAGTAAACTCTCATGTATTTGTAGGAATAATGAAAACGGCTTTATAGTCGTTGGACGCACCGTAATCTTTCAATGAGTTCTCACATCGTCACCCCGGGTCCATACAGGGCCACTAAACTGGTGAGTCTCCACTTTATTTGATGCAATACGATAATATGATGGCCTGATTATGCATTGTGATATTTTGTTTAGTATTTGTATAACACTTTTGAATGTTAGTTTGTAACTTTCAGTTTACGTTGAGGTAAGTTAAAGTTGGTTTTATATTCACACACTCTGAATTTGTCCTACATTTTAGAAAGGTAAAATGCTTTTTTACCTTTTTCTCTGCTAATACTAAATAGGGAAATTATATTAGCACCCAGTTTCTTTCAAAGCACAACAATAAACAATCAAATAAAAAGTGCTAATGTTGTTTTGAAGTCATATATTGAAAGAATATTCAAAGTACCATGATGAACAATATAGTGAGCATGTCAAAAGTTGTCACTGAATGAATGTGCGAATATCAAACCAACTTTACCTCACTTTAGCTCACTTGTAAGTAGTGTAAGTCATATGAAGTTAACTATATATGCTACTATTTATCTTCCAAGTGAACTATGTTTACAAATCATCATTTCTTTATGCTCATTGTGTGTATTTAATGACAATTATGAATATATTTTAACAACAAACTGTAACAATAGAACTTTACAGAATATTTTTTGTTATGCTGAATTATCAGTTTTTGTGTTTTGGACAATCTACCAACCAATTACTTAGTGATTATAGTTTATTATCTGAAGTGATAATAAATAAATGTATTGTGTGATATGATTTCTTTATTTTACAGTGGAATGAAGTGACCAAGCTTTTCCGAGCCGGGATGCCTTTGAAAAAGCACCGGCAGCACTTTAGAGTTTACACGAACTGCTTCACCGCATCCACCGCTGTGGACTGGTTACATGAACTCTTGAAAAACAACAGCAATTTTGGACCAGATGTCACCCGACAGCAGACAGTCCAGCTGCTGAAAAAGTTTTTGAAGAACCATGTTATTGAGGATGTGAAGGGTAGATGGGGCATGGAGGACCTGGAGGACAACAGCCAACTATACAGGTCTGATCAAATGGGTGTTTTATAAAGGTCTGAAAAAAATGCATACAGACATTAGACAATATTTTCTGGTTTAATATGTGTTTAAGGTTTCCATCAACATCTCCTCTGAAGCCTATTCCTAACCGTCCCACTGTTATGAGGAGAAAGAGCTTATCCATGATGGACAGGGAGAGTTTCTTCAAGTTCAGGGGCTCGAAGAAATTTGATAAAGAAACATTGGTAAATATTACTCGCTCTAAACATATTGTTATATTTGTAGTTCATCCAAAAATGAAACTGTGAGAAGACATTTACAACAGAACACTATAATTTTTGCTGAAACCCTGGTGTTTGCTGGTTTATAAAGTCAAAGTCAATGACACTTTGAGAATCAATAAACGCAGACAAAACATCATTTTTACCCAAAGCTCCTAATGACACATTGAGGTCTTTTGAGCAAGAACATCGTTGACAAAATTATTGCTAATTTATTAATAAATTGATTTCATTAATTCACATTAATGTTATTTTTATTATAGATCTGTAATATTGACTTATTGCACACAGGAAAATGTGGATCCAGAAACACAAGAGTCTCCTGTGGGATCGTCCTCAGGTGAGACGGAGCGCAGTAGGGAGCTCACAGAGGATGATATTCATGTGATCTGGAAGAATGTGACACTTACACAGTAAGTCGACCGACCTCCCCCGATACCATCGGTCACATGTAGTTTTCATGTGTTGAAGTGCACTGCTTTGCCCCATGAGTATTTCCTGTATTTAGTCACTTGCAAAGAAGCAGGTTTACCCGACGGTGATACTTTGATCAGGTTTCTTAGTCTTAGAAAAAAAAGTCTTTGGCTTTTTCATAATTTTAAGTACATTAGAGCAGTGCTCCTGGAGGATCATCAACACTGCATGTTTTGGATGATCTTTTGTCTGTCACACCCATTACAGAACTTTCAGTCTCTGCTGATGATCTGAATCAGGTGTGTTTGGCTAAGGAGACATAGAAAATATGCAGAGCTGGTGCTCTTCCAGGAAAGTGGTTGAGAAATACTGCATTAGAGAGACACATTAAATTTTGCATGCACTACCAAACAATAAATATCTTCTTCGTTATTTTTCTCCTGTATGAACTTGTAAAGGAAAAAAAGTTAGATGTTTACTAGGAAAGAGCCTATATGTGTCAACAGAGTATGGAAATTTAAGGTTTAATGAACTTATTTATTATTTAGCTAATTTCAAGAAATGTTTCGCAAAAAAAAAAAAACTTATCCTGTATCTTTCCAAAACTTTGCTTCTGTCTTCATTTAACAATCCGTAAAATTTTGCACTGGAAAACAAAACAAAAATACATCTTATTTCCATATTCCAAGATTAAGTTTTTTTTTGTCAAATAATTTAAGAATTATTAAAAGTTCTTCTTTTGTGCTCCCTATACATTTTATATTAATTGTATTATTTAATTATTATTTGCTTTTTTGAATCTTTTTTTTTTTCTACCTTTAGATCCTACTGAAACCTTGATTGATATTGTTTTGGTTGAATGTTTGCCTTGGCATTAACATGGGTCACCAAAATATTTAATTTAAAGGGCACCTATTATGCAAAAATCACTTTTATAAGGGATTTAAACATAGTTTTGTGGCAATCCTGTGTGGTTATAGCCAGCCACTAATGGTAAGAATTAATAATTGAATTCAATGTTTATTATCACTCCTAATAAAAACAGAAACACTTTGATTAACACCCCTTTTGTTATGTCATCAGAGGGGGAAAGCCCCACACATTAGAGACGATCTCTCCCTCATTAGCATAAACAGCCCTGAGTGAGAAGCAGCCATCTGTTATTAGAGTTTTCACCTGCTGAAGATAATGTCAGCGACTAAGAAGGTTAAAATGTGGAGCTTCAGGATGCACAAATAAACTCTCAAGTCTCCGTAGACGACCTTCTTCTGAGAAATTTTCAGTTTTTCGCAGAGATAACGTTAGTCTTTAATGTCTAGAAATCTTTGCTGATGGCTTGTTTTGCATTTTTGTTTCTGAAAATTGTGCAATGGAGTAAAATTGTAAAGAATTCCTTTAGAAAATGATTACACATTAGTTGCATATTTTAATTAGTAATTTAGTAAATGTCATATTGTTGTTGAATTTGATTGTCATTTGAATGTTCAGTTTGCAGAAGTTGGTGGGATCTGCTTCTCTGGAAGGCGTTTTGGATCCAGCCAAGGTCAATCCTCAGTTCATTGTGTATAATATGACCAAAGTCAATAAACATGGAGTCGTTTCATTGGAGGATAAAACAGGTAGGCCAGATGTGTGTCATCTCTGTGTAAAAACATAGTGGTGATAGTCATATTTTCACATCGTGAATAATATCTTATTTTTCTCCCTCCGTAGAAGATTTACCGCACTGGGTATTGTCTGCTATGAAATGTCTAGCAAACTGTAAGTTTTATATTACAAAAATTAAAAACTGTATTTTGTAAACATGTCAACTTTGGGTTTTGGAAGTTCAGGTGCTTTTATAAGATACTAAATAAGATATTACTTAAAAGGTTTTATTTGGACAATCAAGATCATTATGAAGTTAATATTTCTTGCTTTTAATCTTTAATAATGCTACACATAAACAATGATATTATTTTGGTGATGTTTTTGTATCTGAAGCCTTCACATACAGAGATATGGCCTCGAACATTTGTCCACTCTGTTAAGTTTGCATTCCTGTACAGTATTACATATTACAACAGCCAGATAGAGACCATGCATATATTGTCTTTTGTCATTTTTCCGTGTATAAAACTCAAAATAATAAATTTTTTAATATTATGTATTATTTTTCAGGGCCAAAGTATGACTCAGACCAGCCGACTTACCTAGGATTTGAGCGGGATGTGTTTAAAACGGTCTCAGACTACTTCTACAGTCTTCCTCAGCCACTGCTCACTTATCAGTATTACGAACTCTTTGTCAACATCCTGGGTATGTATGAAACATGTTTTGGATTTTGCATGTCTGTGATCAGGTTATGCTGTAATTAACTGGTTACATATACACCACTGTTCAAAAAGTTTGGTGTTCAGGATTATCTAAGGTATTTTTTTAAGGTAAGATTTATCTATTTAACTTTAAAGATCAACACTGAAATGCTTCTCCTTTTGATTTTTTTATTATTATTTATAAAAAATTCTGATTTAACTTAACAAAAATATTAAGAAGCAAAAGTATGTTTTGCAAACTCCAAATAATAGACGGATTTGCCAATACAGCAATAATTATTTTTAAATATGTGTGGTCATGGACCACAAAAGCAGTTTTATGTTGTTCAGAAATGTTAGCAAAAGCCAAAAATACAGTGTATGGGTAAAAATTAACAATTTTGTTTCATTCTACAAAGCATTAGCATATTAAGTAAAGTTCATGCTCCATGTAGATATTTTGTCAATTGCCTTATGAATAAATCAAAACTTGATAATTTTTTATTTGTAATGTCCTTTGCAAAAATTTTAATTTGGATCATTTTAAAGGCAATTTTCTGTTTTTTTAAGCCTTAGATTCCCGATATTCAAAAATCTCAGCTAGGGCTGCACGATATTAGAAAATAACTGATATTACGATATTTTGTTTGTCTGCAATGTATATTAAGATATACATTTATTTTCAAAAGATGACTTATAACATAACTCTGTTTGGAATTGATTAGTATTTTTACATTGATTGGGATTTTTTTGTAGAGGAGTTAGCATAATGTACAATACAATTGAACAAATACAAATTAATTTTATGATTTCTGTGGAATCTAAACGTATGAGGTACAGAAATGTATTAATAGTAGATAAAATAAGACCGTATAGTGTATAGTCTTCATTGTAAAAATAATTAAAAACAATAGATTTTGGTTTATATGCCTTTTCTAATGTCTTAGTTTAAAGGTGCTGTATGTAAGTTTTTGACTCTTCTAAAGCATAAAAATACCATTATATGTATGCTGATATTTCAGAAACATGCTAAGTGAACATTTTTGTTTATCTGAAAAACAATGCTGAAGTCAAGTATTCTGCTTTTAAAAATGTGCTTTCAGTGCCGGAACTTCTGTCTTTGTTTTGGTTCTTTTAACCTGTCCAATGCCAGTTTAGCCAATAATATTCCAGCACTCCGGGTTGCCTTGGTGGAAAACCGCGTAATTCATTAATTTATTCACTCAGAAAGGCTCTGAAAGCATGCATTGGTGACAGAAATGCAACCTCCGGTGGACAGTAGCAGACTCCTAAATGAGATGCAGATTCAGAGTTCCACATGAGGTTATCATTTAGCAAATAATATAATTATTACTAGCGCAAAGATTAGGTGGGCAGGATACATTTATAACCCAATGTCAAAATGCACTACGTGACTAGATTTGCAGCGATAAGCAATCTGGTGACCTGCACTTGTGTTTGTTTTGATCCAGGGATGTAATATCTAGTTCAACCACTGGGTGTCAAACTTACAAACAGCACCTATAAATTTGCTTAAATTGTACACAGTAACAGGTCTTAAAAACACATTGAAATGAAAAACTTTCTCTCAATTTTAGGGTTAAAATTTGCGATGACTCCACAATTGACATATTCTAAATTGTGGTTCTAACTATGAATGCAATTTGACATTGCATATTCAGCGATGTAACTATTGCAGATTAACAAATTGCGATATCAATCCTGAAGTGATGTGTTGTGCAGTCCTAATCTCAGCCATATTTTAGCCTGTTCTAACAAACCATTTATTAATGAAAAGCTTATGCGTTCACCTTTTGTATAAAACTTTTAATATATTATAATATCAGACGAGATTACTTAATATATATTTAAGATTTACACAAACATTTGAAAAGTTGTGTATATATTTAATATAATGTACCCATGTTAATGTTTTTTGAGATTTTAGGCTTGTGTTTTGTTTTTTTACACACTCATCCTTTGTCCTTTCTGGGGAAAGTCCTACTAAAAGGGTCATCAAAATCATTTGGCTGTGGGTCTCAATTTACAAAATGTTAATAAGAACAAACTATGGAGATGCGTGTCTACTGACTGCACTGCTTTTGTGGTGTCAGACGATGTTCAAAACTAACCCTGTCTGCTCTGTTTTACATGTCTCACTTCGTTGCCTGCCTCTTTGTTGTTTTATGTTCTGTTGTCTGGTCCTTTTTGCTAGTTATGTGTGGCTACATCACGACTCCTAAATCCCAACCTGGAAAGCGTAAAAACCAGGAGGAGCCAAACTGCCCACAGCCTGCCAAAAACCCATATGTGAACCCAGCCAACCTGTTCAGGTCCACCGAATGCCTACTGCTCAGCTTAATAAGAAAAGAGGCCATCGATGAAGCCGATTCGCCCATGAAGGAAGTTTTCAGTTCAAAAACAGAGACCAAGTTAGAAACCCGTAGAGTTTTTAGAGGTAGAAGGGTCAGCGATGGAGACAGGCTGGATGGTAGCTATCTAGATGTTTCTCAGGCCCACAAAACAGATGTCCCATATGGCAGGCTTCGTCCCAGAAGTTGTTCACTGGAGGGAAACATTAATAACTGTGCCAAAAACAGACTTTTTAGGTCGTCTGAAAGCCTCGAGTCCTGTAGCAGTGATAAATCAAACCCTGAAACTGATTCTCCATTAGAACCAAACCTCCAGAGTTCCTTGGTATCCATAAACACTTCCGGCAGCAGCGTGAGCTCCCAACTTTCAGCAGATCTGCGGCGAAACAACTCGAGACCTGCCAGAGCCCGGCCCAGAAGCATTGGTAACTTGTTTGATATAGAGGAGAATAGAGAAATGTCTGCTAGCAGCTTTAGTGTTCATGCACCCGTGGCTGAAATTACTATGAGACCTGACTCCACATCCAGTGTTGGCTTCAGAGGTCTCGGTTTGTCCAGTTTGCATGGAAGTTGCGTGGATGTTAGAACAGGTCCAAGCTTTAGCAGACGCTGTCAGAGCTCTCTGGACCTGAGCAAACCTGCACCCGCTCGGCCTCCTTCAGCCCTGTTAACACACCAGCCTGAGCAAAGTAAGAGCATGTGAAAAACACACGTGAGGATGTGCTTGTCTATTTGTGCTTTAGCATGTGTATGTTGTGCTTGTCAGACTAACATCTAGGATTCTTGAAAGCGATAGTTCATGCAAAAATAAAATTATTGTACAGACCCTCATGTTATTCCAAATCCACATGATTGGCTTGCCTGTGTAGAACACAGAAGAGATACTTTTATTATTTTAAATATATCCTTTCAGATTAGGAATAACATTACAATTTTTATTTTGGTGTGAACTATCATTTTAACGCTAACTCATTCTATGGCACACTTTGAATACTAATACATACTTTTTGTCACATTATCTAACATTATCATTATCTAACCCCCCCACCCCAAACCCCCCCCTCCCAAAAAAAAAAAAAAAAAAAAAAAAAAAAAATATATATATATATATATATATATATATATATATATATATATATATATATAAATAAAAGCAGGGACTACTACATCAAGTATTATATTTGATTGTTATATCAACTTTCTTTTTGTAAAATATGTGATCTTAAAATTATATTATTTGAAAATTGTGGGCCTTTAATTATACTTTGCCCAAACTTAAAGGGCCACGAAACCCCAATTTCAGCAGGGTGTTTTCACACCTCTAGTTTGGAAAAAGTCTGGAAAGTGGGCGTGTCTAGCTTAGTTTGGGGGGCAGTGTCAGAGGAGGGAAAGAGGGATGGTGCATAGAAATTTGCTTAAAAATAGGAGTTTCGATTTGGGCACACGCTGATTTTTACAGAGACAAAACAAACACACAGATGCAGGGCAGAAAGACAGTGACTGCGTTTACATGAACATCAGTAATCAAATTGTTTGCCAAATTATTAAATGGTGGACTTTTACTGCAGTTTTGCACTTTTATTCAGAAATTCCATTCATGCCCCTCATGACAAATGAAATATTTGATTCGAGAAACTGCTGGAAGCGTGTATTTTTAATGCAATATTTGATACCGCACGACAAATGAGAGAAACTGATCGCTTACTTACCAAATCTGTAGAGACAAGACAATCTGCACCAACTAGAGCCGTGTCTTTATTAAAAGAAGACGAGCAGCAATTCTGGATTTCACCATTTCCAAATGAGAAAAGCTCTCAGGAAAAAATGTTCCTTAGACACATTTTTTTCAGAGTGTTGCATGCACTATAATCCACACTTGAGTCCAGCTGCGCTCTCATAGCGGTAATATGAAAACAAAACCTTCATTGCAGCACATTATAAAAGCAACACTGACGACCCATATCTTTAAACAATTCTTCTTCTTCCACTTGTTTTGTAAACACAACGTGGCGTCTCTCTGCCATCTAAACACTGTACAAGTAAAAACAGTCTACGAAGCTAGCTTGCATATGAATGAAGTTGCACCGCATACACAATAGAGCGTGCTGATTGGTTTGAGCCAAGTCTTTCTCATGAATGAATGCAGCACACTCAGAGATGTCACTAAGTACTGCCAGGTATACAGACAGCCAGTCTACACACTGTATTACACACAAGTACCTAATCGGCGTGACACAGCTTCAAAAATTCATTTTAAACCGGAAAAATTAATTTGCTAGAAATTACGCAAAAGCAACCAATTTTTTTCTTTTTAGTAAAATATGTGTCTTAATAGTGTTTTTAGCAGTGTGGGACGTGTATATCACTGTCAGCAGCTCAAAAATTTTGCTTTGGTATTTCGTGACCCTTTAATCTGCAATTTACTTATAACATGGGATTTAATGTTTGATGTATTTGTAGTGATGTTTGAGCAAAATCATCTCTAATTTGTTTAACAAACTGCATCATTTCTCCTAAATTTAAAAGAACTCTTGTAATTCACATCTAAATAAATGACAAATATGTATCTGTGTTTGTGTATATAAAGTCATCCTATATAAAATCATCATATATATATATATATATATGTATGTATATATGTATGTATGTATGTATGTGTGTGTGTGTGTGTTTTATATATATATATATATATATATATATATATATATGTATATGTGTATAATATAGATATATAGATAGAGATGTGTGTGTGTATATATATGCGTGTATATATATGTGTGTGTGGATTCATATGTGTGTATATGTATTGATAATTCATATTGTTCATGTGTTGTTTGTAGTCTCTTGTATTTCTAGTTGTAGTATTTTCGCAGTTTTGTGCTGTGGTTTATTTCGCCCACATGATGTTCCAGGTTTATTACAGCCGTCACTGGAGCAGGTGGCCGTCGAGGCTCTTCAGCTCTGCACGTTACTCTTGCCTCCCGTCAGCCGCCGCAAACTCCAGCTGCTCTTGCGGATGATCTCACGCATGAGCCAGAACGTGGACATGCCACGGTTACACGACGTCATCGGAACACGCACTCTGGTCAGGAGGAGTTCAATGGATGCAGCTGATTTGTTATATTTATAACCATAATCTCACTCGCATTAAAGCAAATGCTGACTTGTTGAATGTCCTGTTGTGCACATTCACGCATGTCGTACACATTACAACTACATTTGTGTTTCTGTGTGCAGTTGGTGCAGACGTTCTCCAGGTGTGTGTTGAGCTGTGAGGAGGTGGACGATCTGGATGAGCTCTTGGCTACGAGGCTGTTGTCTTTTCTCATGGATCACCATCAGGAAGTCCTGCAGGTGCCTGTCTATCTGCGCAATGCTGTGGAAGATCACATCAACTATCTCAAGTCACTGGTGAGTCTACAAGGACCACACAGAAAGGAAAGGATTTACTTACAATTATGAATTTATACAGCTCTAAATAACTCAAAAGTGTTTAAAACTTAAACAATACAGTTTTGAAAGCTTCTCTTCTCATCAAGAATGCATGTATAACTTTATGGACGTTTTTGTCTATATTTATGGTCCATTTGGCTCACTTTGAGATGTTTAAATGATAATGTAATGTTTATATAGTTGCAGCTTAAAAATGGTTTCAGTTTTGCATCAGGTCATCATTCAGATCATATTGTCCTTTTAAATTTTGACTCATTCTTCAGTTTGTAAAATTATTATTGTTATTTTATTGAATTGTATTGAATTCACAATAGTGGATTTAGGGTAATTGTACTGGATGAACTAAACACAGACCCTTTTAAATAGCAGTTAAAGCAGAATGTCAATCAATTCCTGCATTCATTAGTTCCTGCATCTGTTTATTCATCTAACACTGCCTTGCTCTTTATCTCAGAGCTCGTGTCCTGGCTCTGCTGGTCCTATACCATCATACTCGTTCTGCAGGCAGATCAGCTGTCAGGAGTTTGAGCAGCAGAAGCTGTCAGTGTCTCAGTCTGCTCTGGCTGACCTGCTGGAGAACATCATCAAAGACAAGAGCATGTCTGTCAAAGAGAAGAAAAAGAAGATTAAACTGGTATCTATTTACTCTATAATACTTTAAAATATAATTCGAATAAGTACAGATTCAGTATGAGAATGTTGTTTTTATACAGATACATCTGTTATTCTGCTCAACGACAATAGGAACATCATTTTATCCATGTTTTTAGATTTACATTTTTTTGACGGTAAACAAAGTAGCTGATTTAAAAGGCACAATCTAACTTTTGTAAGGTGTTCAGGCAAAACTGTGTGTAGGTCTAGTGTGTCCACAGTCATATTTGAGTGATATAAACACAAGACTCCTTTTTAAAAAATTCTGTTGTTAAAATAGGATCCAAATCCCTGCAATGTTGAGGTCCAATGCAACGCGACAAAGGAACAATTCTGTGTTAAACAGTGCAAAGTTAAACGTGTACGTGCATAAAATTTGTAACAACATTATTTGTTACTCATCTTTGCTGAAAGGCTTGAATTACATCAAATTACCATTAGGAAAGTACTTACCATAGTATTTCTCATAAACGAGAGATCAGCTTAATTTGTTTCTGTCACTGCTTGTGTATATGACATGAGACACCACTGGAGAAAACGCCTCAGCGCATAGAGAGATATCTGTATTGCTCTGACACGCATGTGTAGGTGGGGAGAACCAGCTCATTTGCATTAAAGGCACAGGCAACAAAAACAGCTACAGTGTCTTTAGAGCTCAAAATTCCCATATTTAGAAATATATAATAAATAATCTGGGTATTTTGAAATTTTACCAACACATTCTGGAGACACAAAAGACAGATCTTAAATCCTGAAAAAGGGGTAAAATAGATGCCCTTTAATTAGCATTTAATATGCTTTTAGAAGTAACAATACATGTAATAATACATCCTTGAAATATCTAGTGACTATTTAAATAAATATTAATTGAAATTTGATTTAGTGTAGATACTAAATAGATTTTCTCATGCGCTAAATAACATTTGCATTTAAACTCTATATAAATGTTACTAGTGTTACTAGCTACTTTTCATGCAAGCTATATTTGTTAGATAATAAATACATCTAATTAGTTACACATAACTACAAAAAAGAAATTTATGCTTCACAAAAATTAAAGTAACCAAAAACCAGTGTTCATTCGTAGTTTGTTCCAGTTAATTATATAAATGTCTAAATCCTACCCTTTTTTTATTGTTTTTTTTCCTCTCAGTTTCAGAAGGAATATCCTGACATTTACTCCAGACGTTTTCCCACAACAGAGAGTGAAACTCAGCTTTTTGCAGACAAACCAAAGATAAAGCCGCCAATGCTTTTAAGCATCAAAAAAGCCAAAACCTTCAGTATTCGAAACTGAATACCTCTTAAAATCCTCCTTTTTGAATGATGTTTGAGTAAACTGGCTGACACTTGATCACATCAATATAACTGTAACTTCAGTTGAAGTGTTGTTTTTAGTTTCTTGTGGGATTTTCCTTTGAGTGAAGTATTTTTATTCTGTTTTTTTTTCTGTTTCAGTAGAGACGTCTGTCAGTTTTAATGTTATTTATTTAAGATGTGATTGGTTGTAAGTTTTAGATTTTCATAGTGTCAAAGTATATCCAAACCCCACAGTAAATATATGCAAAGAAACCTAACATACTGTTTACATGGAAAAATGAAGATTTCATATTTAAACATTTTGTAACGTTGTTTATTTCTCCTTTTTAATCTTGTGTTTTCCTGATATCACATTTTTTGTGTGTGTGTTCACCATACAAGTGCACCAATTTCTAAAAACATTTTCATGTGATGTGGGAGTTTGCTAACCTCTAAGCTAGTATGGGCTGATTTGCACTGTTTTTCCATCTAATTTGTCTTATCATGTTGTCTTTCTTTTAGTACATATTTTATTTTTAGTCAGAACAATCTACTTATTGCTTATTTGTATGTATGGATAATCTTGTCATTCAGTCACAATACTGATCCAGTGGCTTGATTATTAAGAATGGGAAAAACTTGGACAGAGAGATTTATCTGGTTTTAATGTCGAGAAAAAGTGAGCCAAAAATTTTGTTGTTTACTATTTTACTGTGTCACCTCAGATATGTATGCTGTTCCTGATCTATGCAATAAACTTTTAAAACAAGCATCATTTTCTCAGCGTTTGAAAGAGAAGAACGTGTGTGCGTGTGTGCGTGTGTGTGTGTGTGTGTGTGTGTGCGTGTGTGTGTGTTTGGAGTGTTGCCAAGTGGATCTTCATCAGTATTCACATCCAGTCTCCATTTATGAAGAATACAGGCCTCCAACCCTGGAAAAGAAAGCCTTTGCCAAGAGTAAACACGTAAACAAAGAAAATCTGATTAATGAAATGTCTTTCACATGCCCCTTTGTTAGATTAGAGACAATTGGAAACCTTTTTCTTTATATTTAAGTTTATTTTCATGAAAATAACTATGTGATTCATGGCTTTATTGAAATGGTTTCTTATTTGTTCATTTGGATATTCATAAAGTTTAATTGTTTATTGAGATGACTAACCACCACATGTTTTTTATTTTAATCCGTGATGTCTTTCAGGAAGATAAACATTAGTGGAGTAGTTTTTGGTTTGAGCACAAAGACATTCTTGTTTCTGAGGCTTTTCATCCACTGGAGGACGAGTTTAAGACGCTGTGTCCATTCTTGGGAACGAAGCACTTCAGTTTTACATGCACAAGCGTTGTCGTCTTCAACATGGTCAGCCGGTGAGTAAATTAACTTTATTTTCACTTTTAACTAGTGAGGGAGAATAATGTGTATTAATTAAAAATGTGGTCGCTTTAAGCATGTGACTCGTGCTAAAATAAAGTTTTCATTCACAGTCTTGAACACCCAGCCGGTGGATATAAGAAAGTCTTTGAGTCGTGTGAAGAGTTAGCGGAGCCCATTCCTGCTCATGTCTCAGGTTTACATGCTTATAATCTCATCAAGCATTTTCTGTTGAATACTTTTCCATATTTATTTTCTTCATGCTTACTTATTCGCATCTGATGTTGGAGCTGTTTAATAAGACTTTTGGGGACTGAAGAATTTGTTTTTGTTAGCTTGAACACTCCATCTTTATATAGGTGAAATTCCAGCATGGCTGTCTGGCAGTCTGCTCCGCATGGGCCCTGGCCTCTTTGAAGTTGGAGATGAACCATTTTATCATCTTTTTGATGGCCAGGCTCTCCTTCACAAATTTGACCTGAAGGATGGACGTGTTACATATCATCGCAGGTAAAATGACTAATAATTTATGAAATGATCAACACTGGGGCACTGCTCATTATTTATACTGGATGTTCATACTAGGGCTTCACGATATTGGAAAATTTTGACATTGCCATATTTTTTTCCCCTGTCATATAAATACAGTTGGTCACACTTTATTTTCATGGCACATTTGTTAAATTTAAGTTGCATTGCATCTACATGCCAATCAATTCATTATTGCGGCGTGGCATGACTGTTCAGACTGACACAAGGAGTCATCATGTTGTTAATTTGTTTCCTTTAGCGACAGCAGTAAATGACTAAACAATTATTTGAACTGTACAACTGCTAAGCTAAAAATGTACATTTATCTTTTTTTATCCACAAAGTGTGCAGCTTTTGTCACTGCAGTGCATCTTTCTGGGAGATAGATATTGATATCAGTATACTTACTAAATAGTATACTTTTATACTTGACCTTTACTTAAGTATACTTCTTTTTCCTAAAGGTGAATTGCTGTCTTAATTACCAAGATCAGTCTTGTACAGCTAGGGGGAGTATTGTCATTCTGACAGACAAGTTAGGTCAAAGCTAGGGATGCTCCCACCAGGAGTTTTGCAGACGATACAGAGTACTGATTCTGAGGCTTCAAGCTTTTTATAATGCATTAAGCACATTTCCCTCTAAATATAAATCTTTAGAGAAGATCTCGCCTTAACTAAGAGAATAAATTAAGGATGCTGCATATTATCCCTTAAACGCACATCTTATAACCATTTAGGTGTGAACGTGTCATTGCCAGAAGCAGCTTTAAGGAAAATAATTCATCCATTCATTTTACTCTGGCTTAGTCCCTTATTTATCAGGGTCTCAGCGGAATGAACCGCCATAGAAATAATATAACACAGATATAAACATTGGTGAGAAAAATGACTAAAAAAGGGACTTAGCTGGAAAAGAAAATAAATGAATGAAATTACAATCAATGCAATTTAGAAACATCGCAAATGATGAAAGAAGAGTTCAACATGTCTCAATCAAAAACAAGTTTAGAGCACATTTAATGCATAAGAAGTTAAAATGCACACCTATAAATACTTCTTTATTAAAAGGAAATAGGCCTCTAAAATGTTTATTGCAATAAATATATTACAAGAAATTGTTATTAAATGCTCCTGTTAAATTAAGTTTTATCTATCTAATAATTCCAGCCAGCTTTTTATGAATTTGCAATATTGTCAAAAACACAGAACTTTCAGCTGTTATATGATGCGATCTGTTCTCTTCTCATTCACTCGCGTCACCATGATTTCCAGGTATTTTAACTCATTTTGGGGGATCACGGAGCCAGTATACATTTGCGAGAGACTTGCGGAGCTTTCGAGAGAGGTCATAAGGTTGGATGAGACACTAGATGGCTCTGCTCACATTACAGCAGCTTAAAACACTGGAAATACAATAGCTACACTTGCAACAAAGAGAGCATCAGTCACGCAAGTCAATAAATTTGGATTGCATCCCATCTGTATGTATTTTGTGTTGTGGCTGTACGCTATGCATAATATTCGGGAGCGCACATGATCTTCGGTCCTGTCAGGCGCACGCACTCTCATTCCCATACAGCAGAAAGCCGTTGGAAGGGCCGGGCGTCCCCCTAATATAATTATAGAGGAAACACTGAAGTGTTACTGTACATTTTTCGCTGACAAAATTGTCTCTTTTAAAAAGTGTTTAAAACTTTTTTTTTTTTCTCAGTAGAAACTTTAAGGGAACATTTCTTTTTTATTGGTTTTCAAATACTGTCCAAATTTCCATAAGTAGTAACCTTCTTTCCTTTATAAAGTTATAAGGATGAATACGATTATAAATGAAACCTTTGTGCTGGTGTTTTGAAAACATTAAGAGCAAAACTTTGATTTAACTTTTTTCAATTAAAGAACTGTAAATATGTTTATTCATAGCACTGACAGAACCTAGCCAGAACTGTAAAGGACTGAATTTTTACTTGAAGGGTCCACCCAGTCCAATGGACGGTGGACGAAGATTCACTGCATGATTGGTCTTTCCAGTGTACAATGTTGATTTACTTTAAATTTAACTCGTATCTGACTCCAATTTTAGTATGAGGTAGTTTAGAATATTAATATATTTATCCTCATTTTATCTGACTCCATTTAAAAAAACACTGATAAAGTTATTTTGTTTGCTTTAACATTAATTTAGATCAGTGGTTCTCAAAGTAGGGGTCGGGACCCCCCGAGGGGTCGCGGGGCAATGAAGGGGGGTCGCCTGGTGATTTCCAAAAATCTATTTATTTTTATTAAACCATAAGAATTAACATATTTTATCTATAACTATACTGAAAATAAAAATAGTCGTTTATAGTTACTATATACTATATAGTTACTATAGTAGCTTATAGTTACTAGTTCTATTGGATTGCGACCCCTGGGGTAATTACATTATATTAAAGGCAGCAATAGCGTCAGATGCATTTTGATTTTATAACATCAGGTTATACTTTCTGGCACATTTAAAGCACTGACACAAATTTAATTGGTGTGTCTGCGTCATTGCATGCAAGGTTTCTGTATTTATAACCACCTCAGAGGATATTGGGGGTCGCGAGTCACTGGCTTTGTTATTTTGGGGGTCGCGGGCTGAAAAGTTTGGGAACCCCTGCTTTAGATTATGATTGAATATTTCCTTAGATTTATTATTGTATGTTATTCTCATTCGTTCGGATACCTATAACATCCTGAGTCTTGTACCGGCTGAGTATACAATCTCTTAAGCACAAGCATGTCAGTCTTGGTCACTAACAGTGGTGTAAAGTAATTAATTACAAATACTCAAAGTACTGTAATTGAGTAGTTTTTCTCAGGAATTGTAATTTAGTAAGTAGTTTTAAAAATGTGTACTTTTACTTTCCCTTGAGTACATTTTTAGTGCAGTAACCAGTACTTTTACTCCACTACTTTTCTTCAACCTGCAGTTACTACTTAATTTTTTCTTGTCTATGGAGATTAGGAAAATCAGTCCTGTGATTCCTGTCCAATCAAATCTCACATAGAGGGTAAATCGCATCATAATGAACTACCTCAAAATAGGGTTATCAAAAGAATTTTATTAATGCAATTCAAATATATAACTTATGAATTGATGTTAACTTTAAACTTATTATAAATATACATTTATATTGTTTAATTATAATGTTTAAAATATTTTTTGTCATATTTTTGTAGCTAAAGTATCGGATCAGGCACCGCTTTGGCACCGGTATTAAAATAGCCCCAAACGATATCCAACCCTATCTCAAAACGTGTGGTTTATAATTGCAGCAAACCGTTTGGAAGCATTAAAAGTGTACAAGATGTCCAAAATCTTTACATGCATGGACTCAGAGACTGTTAAGATGCAGTCACTGGTGAGATGATGACGGATGTTTGCTGTATGATCA